CCTGGCTACACTGGAGAAATGGTCTGAAGTCAGTCAGATGAAATTCAACAAGGACAAATGCAAAGTCCTGAATTTAGGGTGGCATAATCTCACACCCAAATCCAGACTGGGAAAGTGCTGCTGGAGAGAAGGACCTGGGAGTTACAGGGCACGGTACACTGAATGAGAGCCAACAGTGCACTCTTGTTGCAAAAAAAAGGCCAACAGCATATGGGCTGTACTAACAGCAATGTCTCTTGCAAACCAAAGGAAATGGCTTTTTTCCATTCTGTTGGTGAGTGCTGGAGTCCCGTATCCAGTTCTGGGTCCTGCTCTTCAAGAAATAGGTGGACAAATTGGAAAAAGTCCAACATGAGTCCAAATTGATAGCAGTCTTCAAATGCCGGAAGGGCCATTATAAAGTGGATGGAGATAGACTATCTCTATAGCCATATGGGACAGGACTAAAAGCAACTGCCTCAAGCTGCAGCAGAGGAAATTTAGGTTGGAGATTAGGAGGAACTTTCTGAGTATGAGGGTGGGTCAAACCCTGGAACAACCTGCCCAGAGAGGTTGTGAACACTTTATTCTTGCAAATTTTCAAAAGCAGGTTGGACAGACACTTGGCTGGGATGGTTTAATCAGGGACAATCCTGCCTGAGCGAGAGACGGAAGGAGATGTGACCTCATGAGGTCCCTTCCAGAGCCAGTAGGTGGCATAGGTAAGCTTTGCATTGGGATTCGGCTGCCGCAAAACTTCAGAAGAGAAAAATGCTTCTCATGCAAAAATGAAATAAAAGCATGAGCCAAACGGTCCCCCCTAGCTGGACATTTCTATGCCAGCTTTGGGAAGCAGTAGCTGAGCTGTCTTGTCTCTTTTGTATCACTCTTCTGATCTGGTCTTTAGCGCTGCTTGAAAAATGGTAGTGGATAGAGACTGGGCAGTGTCCTTCTCAAGCAGTGGTACTCAACCTTTCTACATTCAGGATTCCCCTTGTTAGGCTCCAGGCACTCCCTGGAAAATGCCAGCTCTTAGTTTTCACTCCTTTTTGGACTACAGAAAAATTATGGAGCAATTCTTTTGTTGCAAAGAACGCAGAAAGACCGCAGCTAGTCAGGGTGGAAGATTTGGCCTTCATATGCGATCACCAAGTACAAGCAAGGTGTAGTAGATCCACTATGGTCTAGTGCAGTAGATCCACCATGGACTGTGCCTGCTGTGGCCGGATCTGGACCACTGACAATGGGAGTGGGAGACGAGTATGGGGCTATTAGTTGTGGAGCCCTGTTCAGCCCCTCTGTGACATGCCATGCCAATGTCCCCATGTGATGAAACCATGACACTTTGCTGTTTTGGGGCCTGGCATTTGTGTGCAAGGGATGGGATCGGGGTGGGATTTGCTCAGCAGTTACATCATTGATTGAAGCTTCTTTCATGAACATGGGGCAGCCTTCGTCTCCATGCTCTGTGCAGCGTCCAACAACTCACCGATGCTAAACCCAGTGCTCCCAGTCACCTCTACTCTGCTCCCATTGATTTCATGCGGCTCCATCCATGTCTATAGCTTGACATCAGCTGGCCCTTGCAGGGACTATAAGGAACCAGACCACAAATGATCGTAGATCATCATTGTCATTGAGGATGATGCTGATGATAAAGAAGAAGCCTTAACTGTCCTGCTGGCTGCAAGTGGCTGGCCATTAGCTCTGGTGTAGGATTAGTCTGTATTAGTCTTTATATGGCACCCAGCACATTGTAACTCCAGTCCATAGCACTACAGCAGTGCAAATAAAAATAATACTTAACAGGTGTGAACATAGCAGCAACGAATTTCCAAATGAGGACAAATTTCCAAACCAGGCTGAAATGCAAACAGGGATTTTCATGGGAGCCACTGAAAGACAGAGAGCTTTGGACACTGGTACCCCTTGGCAACCTCCCAGCCTAAATCCCCAGCTGTTCCCATTTCCCCAAGAACAGCCTCCCAGCCCCCACCTCCCCTAATTTGATTTTTGTCAGCTGCCACCAAAGACCCCCTCACTCCTGCATTTCCCCAGATGCCTTGCTTGGCCTAGAGGCTCCTGGTACTAGCAGCAAGGAGAGTGCCTGTATTTCTAGATGCAGAGGGAGGCTGCTGGGAAGGGGCCGGCTGTTAAGTTTGGCACTGAAACCTTCCTTGTACTGCTCGAAATGCAGAGGCCACCGCTTTGCTTTTGAATGAATGATGCGCTGTATTTAAAAAAAAGCCCTTTCTTTTTGCACTGTGCCACGTCCCTTCCTTGGTCGGGCCCTGCCGGAGGCTGAGTATCTTCCGTCCTGCAGAAATCGGTGACAACCA